CGTTCTTCGTCGATTGTTAAAGAATTGCTATCTGATGTCGATGTTTATGGTAGAACGCCATGGGTTTACCTAATTGATACTGCAAACGTAATTGGTGGAACGGTTGAAGCAATACTAAACTATGGAGTTTCGGTCAACAAGTGCGACAATCTTGGAAATACAGCTTTGCACAGGATAGCTGGAGTGTCGGCCGCTTGCGTTCTCACGGACGTGATTGAGGTGTTAATAAACACAGGAGCAGATCTCAATAAAAGGAATATCTATGGAGAGTCGCCTGCTTTCGTTCTTTTTCTTGATTCTGTTTTTGATATTTTCAACATACACAAAATGGATTTCAACAGCCAAGATAGATGGGGTCGTAGCCCTTTAATGTCTATAATGAAGCATAGACCAATTCCTGACCTTCTATACAGAGTTATCCTGGAAGGAAAAGCAGATGTAAATAGAACAGATGCTTACGGATCGACTCCTCTTCACTTTGCTGCATACCACAATTATGAAGAGCAAGTTAAATTGCTATTGGAACTTGGTGCTGACAAAAATGCCAAGGATGGTTCTCAAGATAAACCTGTTGACACAGTTCTACGCCATTGCAGTTATCGATGCCATGATCTCCTGAACATGGCCTCTGGCATTGAAAAAGTGTATGCAAGAAAAAGATCGCACGATGAAATACTTCTTGAACTACCGAAAACTATAAAATCAACAAACGTGAAGTCTCTGCACGATATAGAGATGGCAATGGGACTACAAGAACATCGAATACCTTTCTGGGATTATTTGCTGCAGACATATTATGATAGAACTCCTGAAAATGCAAATGAAGTGGACAGAGTAGTAACGGAAGTCAATTCTCTTGTCGGATCACTTTGTGGTGCAATCGCTCAATACGATCCGATATTCAACATGTCCATTTTTCCAACTGGAAGTTCTGCTGAACATACTAAAGTCGGTCGACCTGATGAATTTGATTTCGTATTATGTATTGATCAGCTAAATGAAATAACCAAACCAGTCATGATTAAGGAATGCATCGAAAGCGGATTTGCCTGTTTAAAATTTACTCATAACCCCGTTCCAGCAGCATTCCTGCCATTCTGCGACAGTGAAGGATATTTTCTGGCTTTCCCATTTCTACAGCTTTTCAACAGATATCTTAAAAGAGCTTTGAACGAAAGTAACATTTGGAACAGTGGGAATTTATACTACAATTATGAAGATAAGATGGAAGTCATTAAAGGCAAGCCGGTCTTTAATTTTGATGTTTACTGGGTTGGATCTGTCTACAAACAGCTTAAAATAAGCATTGATCTCGTACCAGCAGTGTACAAACGCGGTTATTGGCCACCTAACATTAACTTTGAACAAATGCCTTTAATGACTGAAGCGATCCAGAAATCAGGATGCTTCTTAATTCTGCAGTCACGATCTAACGAATTCGATACAAAGAAACATTTATTTGATAGCAATATATGTTTCACTTGCAACAATGATACCGATAGAACTTTGAGACGAATGCTACGCGTCTCTGCTGCTCCTGCCGAAATTTGTCTCATGAAATCGCTTCCCGTAGTATTTCGACGAGCATACGCCCTTGCGAAAATTATGAAAAGCAAAGAGATTTGTCCAAAGGTGGAGCTAGAAGATATTGGCAAATGGACAAAGCTGCTAACCCATCAGATAAAATTTGGAGAGAAGAAACCCCTGCCAGCCAAACCATCCCACGTAATTAAAAGTTATATGTTGAAAAATTGTATATTTTACACCATGCTAGAAATGAAAAACAACTTTGGCGAGCAAGATGTACATCCATCGACCATCACTGTAAAAGTATATCAGTATCTACTGCATTTTTCTGACAAGAGGTACTTGAATCCATTTTTTCTGCCTTTTTCAGACGTATTCGAATTCGAAAAGGACACACAGAGGTCAACGTTTGATGATTTTATGCTGCGCCTGAAGCGCGAAATTAGCATCAAATTAATCCTTGGTATGCTGAAACAGCCATTTCCAGAAGAATGTTTATCGTCAAAGATCTAATAACTTTCAAAAGATTATTTTAAGTTTGACGTGTGAATGAGAGTTACCAGTGCATTCATCATTATGATTGTTCTAGAAAGAAGAGTACATTGGTATTTTACAGAGGTCTACAATCTTTTGGGATAATGGAACAGACCTGGGTGTCAGTTTCTCACAACGAGAAGTCCCTAAACAACTCATCATCTCTTAAATGTCATATTATGTCCAGGTGAACATTTGTAAAGGTACTTTGATACGATGAAAATTGTAAAAAAATGGCTTCTTCATGATTGCTCCCAGAAAGTACTAGTTTATAGTTTATTGTCCCCTCGTCCTTTAATATATAAGTGAAACCCCCTATTAAGGTTATTTCTTATGCTGACTTTAATGAAGAAATGTGCTTGTTGATGTTGTTTTTGCGTGTGTGTGTGTGTTTTTTTTTTGTAATTTCGCAAATTCAGTTGTTTTGAAATCACTTAAATTATGTCAATGCACTGTGTATTACTGATCTTTTTGCTCCCAAAATAAAAAAAAATATCTAGAAACATTACGCTATTTCAAGTAACTTAATCCGTCCGCAAGTAAATTACAAAGATAAAAAATGCAAAATTACTTTTTGGGGACAAAATCTTATGTTGCCTGTTGCCACCCATGTTCGACTTAACCTGTACAGAAAATAATACAACTTGACAGGAATCCGCAAATGATAAAAGCTGGAACATAATTTAATAGAATTTCTTGTATCCTAAAATAACGTATGTATTCAAAAGGCGACATCACCATAAGATTTAACCTGGCCATTGAAGCAAGATATTGAGATCAAACACAAATGGCATCAGACGGACAAAAACTTCTGCTACATACCCACATACTAGTACCAAATATTGTTGACCCATTGTGTACAGCGACGAATGAACAAAGCTAATCACGAAAACTTAACCTGATCACTGGACACAGCGTTAAAACAGAGGTAAAGGTCTTATGAAAAGTAACACTGGCTTATCCTCGTCCATTGGTCTAGTGGATAGGTTTCCCATTAGCAACCAAAATACATCTTATTTCATATACAACTTATGACTGATCTACTTACCAGATATATTTGAACTATCATGAATAGTTACTGAGAACAATCTTAACCTGACCACTAAGAACTTGAAATTAAAGTCAAGGCCAAATGAAATTGTCAGGACACATCCTCCTCACAACCAAGCAACATATCAAATATTCTTGACCTTTTATGACAATATGTACAAAAACTTAGAAACATTGTCGTTCTGGAGACATAATCTGACCACTGGAATGTAAAATTTACGTCAAGATCTTCCAAAAAATCTTATCCCGGTCAATAAAGCGTGAAATATTGGTTAAAGCAAAATAGCATATGTATCGGATGGACAAAAACTCTCAACCATTCAACATTCCAAATATTGATGACACATCATGTGTTTTAACTAAAGAATAAACCTCAACCTGATAACTGGATTATGAAATTGAGGCAAGGCTATATAACATATTATATAAAGACGGACATATACTCCACATATTACATTAGAGGACCGCATCAGACCACTGCAACATGAAAAGGGGTCAAGGTGAAAACGAGTGGCTTGTTCCTTCTTGAGCAACCTCAAGAGAAAATTCAGGTGAATGTGTGAATAAGACGTCCACCCTCCCCTCGTAATCTTTTATATCAAAAGGTACATAAAAAACATACAATTAAAGCCAGTAGAAGAAAGCAATTAATTTCAAAATAACGATTTAATAATTACATATTTGAGGTTTATTTACAAACTTTTACCACCATTGTTGCCATGATTGGAAAATCATTACCTATGTGCTACCAACAAGAACTTTTAGTTTGAACAAGACAAAATCAATCAAACCATTTTTACTGCCTGAAAAGTTTCAATTTTCTAATTGCATTGTTTCTGATACCATATTTGTTGTATTTTTCTGAGTATGTTTACAACTTGGTAGTGTATGAAGTATCATAAGTAGAAAGTATAAGGTCAAACAATGCCACACGATATGAAGATTTCTAGAACACCAGGCATTAAAGCCAAATATCTATTTCTATATAAATCACACCATCCAACCCTCTTATATCGGCAGATGTACTTCATAGAAGATTTCATACAACAAATTTAAGAAGTAATACAGGAAGATACTATTTTGTCCAATGCTTAGAACCAATACAAAGTACCGATCTAAGATTAATGGTTGTTACCAAAAGCTAGCTCAGAGCCAGTAACACCTAATAAATAAATCATGTTTCCAAGATTAAGACGATATAACTTTACCTTTAACAATACTATGTTTATTGTGTTTTTTAGTTGTCTTTTCTGAAATTTCTGAATTTTATATATCTTATCTATTGTTTGTCTTACATTGACCAGTAAGAATATTTACCTTCTTATAATTCATCCTTGTGGAGAGCTGCTTATTGGCTATAATACCATATCTCTATACAGGAATAAATATCACAGTGAAGCCAATCTCATTTTAAGAGTTTACCAGTGGATATGTCCTAAATCAACCTGATCAGAATACACTAACAATATGGAAAGTTTGCATATAAATAGAGAATATCATATGGCTTTTTCAATATCACACCTTCATCAACTGGAGACACCAATATTATACTGAGAGCTCTTCTCGAGGGATTATATTGATTGAGGGTTGATATGGTGTGTGATATTGAAAAAGCCATATCATATACACTTTATTATATATGTACCTCAAGCACAACTAATTTAGATGTTTTTCACGAGACTTGCTTTGTAACAGTGACTGATATCAGTTATGTGATGTCATACAAATTAGGGGTTTGATAAAGTCTTTGCAACCGTGACTGATATCGATAACATCATGGATAGCGGCTACAGCACGATTGCCATTAAGTGTATTACACATACAATTTACATGTATTTACTACTAAGTATATAATAAACTACTAAGTATATAATAAAACAAACTATATGTGTGTGTATACATACTTTATTTTACAGGATGTACATTGCACATTCCCAATTAAATGGTACTATTTGTAATGCTGCAGTTATGACAATAAACCATTGCAGCAAATACCAGTGAAATAAACTGTTATCACAGAGATATGTCTTGCCTATTTGTTATTTTGATAATGCAAATGTTGAAATTAAAATAGCAATACTTTAACATGTAAGTTATGCAAATATTCAAAGTCAATGAACCATGACTGAAGGTACAGGGCTAAACAATCTCCATGGAAATGAGATGTGCCAATGCTAATACAACTGCATGTAACCAAATACCATTGACTTTTCATAAGTCATTCCCTTTAAACAAACCTAAACACAAACATTAACTTGTAAACTATGTAAAAGTTTCAATGTCAATGAACCATAATGAGGGGGTGGGGTTATATAATCTCCATGGAAATGAAACTTGCAAATGCCAATACATTTGCATACAAAATATCATTACTTAACATTAATGGTTCATCTTAAACGGACCTAATCACAAACTAATACATATGTAAACTAAGCAAAAGTTTCAAAGTCAATAGACCATGACTGAGGGGGGTGAGCCAAATATTCTCTATGGAAATAAGATGTGCTAATGCTTATACAACTGTATACCAAATATCATTGACCTACCACTAGTGGTTCCCCATAAACTGACCTAATCACAAACTAATACACGTAAACTAAGCAAAGTTTAGAAATCAATAGACCATGACTGAGGGGGCAGGGCCAAATAATCTGCATGGTAATGAGATGTGCCGATGCTAATACAACTGCATACCAAATATCATTGACCTACCACTAGTGGTTCACCATAAACTAGACCTAATCACAAACTAATACATTGTTGACACCGCCGCCGACACCATCATCGTCGCCGACGCCGGAAACAGCATACCTATGTCTCCCTTTTTGACTCCGTCAAGGAGAGACAAAATCACTCTGGTATTGTTTCATCTTTGTAATCATAAAGATAAAAACAGTTTTGTACCTCTAATTTATATCTGATATATCATAAGTACTCATTTTATCTGCTGTTCATATTTTTCAAAATTTATCATGTTACGTTACTTGTATTATTTTCATTCCAAAAAATAATGAAGAAATGAGTATTGAACATTTATAGCGTTTCCTGTATACAGAGATCTCTGCAACTTATCCTGATGAGAATTGGACTTGCCAGTTTCACTGGGGATTCACCAAAATGCTTTAATTTACCTCCAAAATAAGGGACTTAATCAATTTTTCTAATAGCTGCAATCAAATTTTTCCTGCCTAAATTTCCTTTCCTTTGTGACTAGTATGTAGTTCTCAAGTAAAGCATGAAAGATGAAAACATGCTTGAGAATGCATTAATATTATGTTTTTTCATTAACAATAATTAAGTGAATTTGGAATGTATCATTCATAGGGACAATTACTATGAATGTTGTCATTATTACCACTTCTGAACAAAACAACATTTTGGTGATATAATGATCATTTTACAACAAAATAGAAAATAGTTCTACACTTTCCATTTCTAGTTTTTATCCATTTGTTTGGCAAAAACTTTACCTTACACTCAAATGGTGTCTTCAGAAACATAATTAGTTTTTTTACATATGGACTAAGACATATTAATCTACATAGCCTATTATACTCTGAAAATAACCAACCAAGTTCATAGTAATAAAATCATACACAATTTCATCAATGATATCTGTCTACAACACTTTGGTCTATATTTATATAAGTCCTATGACATATTATTTACTCTAATGATGACAACATAAGAAGTTGTTTTAAAACTTTTGTTTGACTTGTCTCTCGAATTTCTCCCGCTAAAAACATCTCATCCACAACACTGTAAACCTGAAAAATAAAACAAAATAAATCAAATTGAAGTTATCTGTTAAATAAACTGATGACGTTGAGATATGTCTTGCCAGTCAGCAGAAAATTCAGAAAAAGACAATTTGATGGACAGCAACATTGCTAATTAATTCAAAGTTGCTGGATTATGAACTAGGGGGCAGTGCCTCGAAACAGTTGACAAACTGAGATGTCTATCATAATTAGTTCATATCAAACTTATTTTAGCAGAAAACTTAACAGCCTTCTGCTACTTTTGTGGCATGCGATACATAAACAACAACACTAGACTCATATTTGTTGCCCCATCCAGCATATTGGGATACAGAAATCTGAATAAATATGAGAGTATGAGGAATTTCGTTAGTTGCACATACTTATTGTGTGTGTTTCAATGTTGTAAAGTATATGACGAGTAAGACTGAAAGTAATGTATCCTATACAATATATAGACAAAATTTTAGTGTATGGAAATTGGACAGACAGACCAACAATAAAAGGATGGGAAAAAATCAGATGTGTTCACTGATTTGACTGTATAGGCTATAAAAATTGTCTCAGAGAACCATATGAAATCAACAGAAACCAATTACTAACAAGAGCGAACACGCTGAAATGTCTTGCTTTCTTTATTAACCATTGATATTATGTTGATAGTCCTAAATATAAAGCTTTACTACAACTATCACATAAACTTAACATGATCCAAGAAAATGAGGTCAAGGTCATATAAACCAAACGAGAAATACATGTACACCTTACAATCATTCAATACACTAAATATAGTTGACCTATTGCTTATAGTTTCTAAGAAACAGACTTAACCAAGAAAACTAACATTGGCCTATGAACCATGAAAATGAGTTCAAGGTCAGATGAACCATGCCAGGCAGACATGTACAGCTTACAATCCTTCCATACAACAAATAAAGTGGACCTATTACTTATAGTTTAAGAAAAACAGACCAAATCACAAAAACTTAACACTGAGCAATGAACCGTGAAAATGAGGTCAAGGTCAAATAAAACCTGCGAGACTGACATGTACATCATAAAATATTTCCATACACAAATATAGTTGACCTTTTGCATACAGTATTAGAAAAAAAGACCAAAACTCAAAAACTTAACTTTGACCACTGAACCATGAAAATGAGGTCAAGGTCAGATGACACCTGCCAGTTGGACATGTACACCTTACAATCATTCCATACACCAAATATAGTAGATCTATTGCATACAGTATAAGAAAAACAGACCAAAACACAAAAACTTAACTATAATCACTGAACCATGAAAATGGGATCAAGGTCAGATGACACCTGCCAGTTGGACATGTACACCTTACAATCCTTCCATACACCAAATATACTAGACCTATTGCTTATAGTATCCGAGATATGGACTTGACCACCAAAACTTAACCTTGTTCACTGATCCATGAAATGAGGTCGAGGTCAGGTGAAAACTGTCTGACTGGCATAAGGACCTTGCAAGGTACGCACATACCAAATATAGTTATCCTATTACTCATAATAAGAGAGAAATTAACATTACAAAAAATCTTAACTTTTTTTTTTTCAAGTAGTCACTGAACCATGAAAATGAGGTCAAGGACAATGGACATGTGACAGACGGAAACTTTGTAACATAAGGCATCTATATACAAAGTATGAAGCATCCAGGTCTTCCAACTTCTAAAATATAAAGCTTTTAAGAAATTAGTTATCCCTATGTTGAGCTTTCTGTGACAAAAGTCGCAGGCTCGACAAAAGGATGCAGAAGACAGAAAATAAAAAGTGGCAACTTTAAAATGGAAATTCTGTAATTGCATGACTTGTTCTGTCAGTGTTGACATCATGAATTTTATAAGATTGATTGATTGATTGTTGATGTTCACTTTCAGTTTACTTGTCTATATCATGCAGAAAGTTTTTATTGGTGGAGGAAGCCAGAATACCAAGAGAAAACTACTAACTTCGACAGGAATACTGGAATTCCTAGTCAATTAAGATCAGAGTCAAACAACCTTTGACAAGAGTCAGGTTCAAACTCAGTGTTTTCAAGCTGTTGATCACTGTAGATGAACCACTTTGACTGTTGACCATTTTGCCACCTAGGCCCATGCATTTTAAAACAGTTTCCATGCTTATCATAATACTGATAAAAAACTTAATAAATCAAGCTCACTGATGCCCAACAGAATTGCTAGTTAGCTCTAATTATGTAAGTTAAACTAAAGGGTAGCCTTGTGTGACTTTTTCAATCAATAAAAAACTTTTTCTGACAGTTGCTACCACTAGATTGAATGACTGATATACCAGGGTTTGGAAGGAGGGGTCTTCATTTCTGTACTTAGAAATTTTGCCCATTATTCTCTATTCTTTGTATTTTAGAACCCCATTATTCTCTTTTCTTTACTTATTTGGCCTATTTTTCTCTATTTTTTGTTTTTGGCCCATTATTCTCTATTCTGTCAATCCCATCCAGATAGTGAGATGAGATGAAATATAAATAAAATGTCTGTCTAGCTCATATTTTAGTTGGAACCCGTATTGTATGCTTTGACCAAAAGAAATATGTGACGAAAACATATAGAATCCTTTCACTCTTATTTCTATCAATTATTTTTGTTCCAAAACTAGTTAACTAAATAATGACCAAAAAAATATCTGAGAAGGGTTTTTGGCTTTTCCTGAAAGAAATGCTCTCAATTAACTTTTTCCACATTTATAACTTTGAACACAAAATGAAGGTTTTACCTTCTGACACAGTATGTTGTATGCTGAGATAAAACTAGAGGCTCTCAAGAGCCTGTGTCGCTCACCTGATTCTACTTTGGTTTTGGAAATCATGTAAAAATAGATTAAAATCATAACAGATACCCTAATAATGAGTGAGGCCAAATTTGGTTTAATATTGGTCCTGTAATTTAATAAAAAATCCTGGTGGCCATCTTGAACAGTAAATCGGCAACAAAGTAGCAACACTTAATCAGCACCTCATGAGAAACATTTATGCCATGTTTTGGTTTCATTCCATTCAGTGCACCTCTAGAAGAAGCATTTGTATGTATTTCCCATAGGTGTCTTATGTTAAAGGAAGTCCCCCCATTGGCGGCAATCATGGATGAGGGATCAGCTTCAAAGTAACAAAACTTAGTCAGCACCTCATAAGGAACATTCATGCCATGTTTGGTTTCAATCCATTCAGTATGTGGTTCTCTAAAAGAAGACATTTGTATGCATTGTCCATAGGGTCCTTTGTTAAACATTGTCCCCATCTGGCAGCCATCATGGATGAAGGATCAGCTTCAAAGTAACAACACTTGGTCAGCATCTCAAAAGGAACATGCATGCCATGTTTGGTTTCATTCCATTCAATGGTTCTCTAAAAGAAAACATTTGTACGTATTTCTCATAGGGTCCAATGTTAAACTTAGTCCTCCGCTGGCGGCCATCTTAGATTATGGATCGGCTTCATAGTAACAACACTTGGTCAGCACATCATAAGGAACATTCATGCCATGTTTGGTTTCATTCCATTCAGTGGTTCTCTAAAAGAAGACATTTGTATGTATTGCCCATAGGGTCCCATGTTAAACTAAGTCCCCCGCTGGCGGTCATCTTGGATTATGGATCGGCTTCAAAGTAACAACACTGGGACATCACCTCATAAGGAACATTCATGCCATGTTTGGTTTCATTCCATTCAGTGGTTCTCTAAAAGAAGACATTTGTATGTATTTCTCATAGGGTCCTATGTTAAACTAAGTCCCCTGCAGGCGGCCATCTTGGATTATGGATCGGCTTCAAAGTAACAACACTCAGTCAGCACCTCATAAGAAACATTCATGCCATGTTTGGTTTCATTCCATTCAGTGGTTCTCTAAAAGAAGACATTTGTATGTATTTCCCATAGGGTCCAATGTTAAACTAAGTCCCCTGCTGGCGGCCATCTTGGATTATGGATCAGCTTCATAGTAACAACACTTAGTCAGCACCTCATAAGGAACATTCATGCCATGTTTGGTTTCATTCCATTCAGTGGTTCTCTAAAAGAAGACATTTGTATGTATTTCCCGTAGGGTCCCATGTTAAACTAAGTCCCCTACTGGTGGCCATCTTGGATTATGGATCGGCTTCAAAGTAACAACACTCGGTCAGCACCTCATAAGGAACATTCATACCATGTTTGGTTTCATTCCATTCAGTGGTTCTCTAAAAGAAGACATTTGTATGTATTTCCCATAGGGTCCTATGTTAAACTAAGTCCCCCGCTGGCGGCCATCTTGGATTATGGATCGGCTTCAAAGTAACAACACTTGGTCAGCACCTCATAAGAAACATTCATGCCATGTTTGGTTTCATTCCATTCAGTGGTTCTCTAAAAGAAGACATTTGTATGTATTTCCCATAGGGTCCTATGTTAAACTAAGTCCCCCGCTGGCGGCCATCTTGGATGATGGATCCGCTACAAAGTAACAACACTTGGTCAGCACCTCATAAGGAACATTCATGCCATGTTTGGTTTCATTCCATTCAGTGGTTCTCTAGAAGAAGTTCAAAATGTAAAAAGTTTACGCCGACGACGGACGACGCCGGACGACGGACGCCAAGTGATGAGAAAAGCTCACTTGGCCCTTCGGGCCAGGTGAGCTAAAAAGGGAAGAAAAACAGAATATGTGCATATCTTAATTTTTAATGACTTTGGTTCCAACAAAACAAAGTTAAATTATACACAAGAAAGAGAGAATTTATCTGAGAATCAATAAGTTTTTTTTCCTTGAAACAATCAATGTTTTTACTTTCGTTTCAATTTATAATTTTGAACTCAAAATGAAAGTTTACGTTGAGAGACAATATGAATACTTTACCTTATAAAAGTTGAATACAAGATCTAATTCACAGACATTATGGAAATATTCATTAAGCACTTCTACAAAGTTGTGTATTGCCTCTAAGTATGCAAGATTGTTGTCGTTTACATCAACACAGATACAGAAATATAAACCAGCATATCTTCTGTACACAATCTTAAAATTCCTAAACTGTAAAACAAAATACATATTATTATACACAGGTAAATCTGTTACAAATAAATGGAGAATGTGTCCCCATGAACACAGAAGATGGCCCGCTTGCATACAACATTATAAAGGGACATAACTCAAGAACAATAAAAGTGATGCTACCCAAATTTGTACTTGATCTTGGTTTTGTGGTAATAAGTATTGTGTATAGGTTTCATGTTTGGTTGGGGCAAACTTAAGTTACAGAACGGAAACTAAAAAATTTGCAATTTTTCGATTTATAAAGGGGCATAACTCAATAATGGTTAAAGTGACACTACCCAAATTCAACTTGATCTGTGTTTTATCAGTGGAAGGCAAAATTAAACATTGCATTGTATAAAGCATTGATTGTAGTTGATTCAACTATAATAATGGACAAAGGAAGATAACTCCAATTTTCAAAATTACTTGAACAATGACATCATTGATATTTTTAGAAAAAAAATGAAAATTTAGCAATTTTTCCATTTGTAAAGGGTCATAACTCTAGAACAGTAAAAGTGACGCCACCAAAATTCAAACTTGAATTGTGTTTTGTGTTAATAAGCATTGTGTATAAGTTTGATAACATTTGGTTGAGGCAAACTTAAGTTAGAGAACGGAAACCAATTTTGGGACGTATGGATGGACGTGCGTACGTACGTACGGACAGACGGACAAGGGTAAAACTTAATGCCCCCTCCGCTTCGGCGGGGGCATAAAAATCTTTAATCACTTTAAAATTAATAAAATGCTTCGCTGGGGCGCAGCTTGATACGACCGCAGAGGTCGAACCCTGAACAGTTGGGGCAAGTATGGACACAAAATTCAAGCTTGATACAGCTATGACTTTGGATTGTCATTAAATATTTGACACAGCATAGGTTTCTGACACAGGATGAATGTGGTGTAAGAACTGGAAAAAATTTAATTTACCTATTATGGTGGAATATCCATAAACTAAATTGTTTGTTAATTTCAATATATCAAAGAATATGTAGAATTCAATGTTTGATGTAATGTAATAAAGTTGAAATTTGGACCGTTTTTGTTCAATGTGGACCAATTTGGTAACATGTATAAATAATCAAAAATCTAAATACATGGGAGCCCATTTAAATACATCATAAAGGTATTAAAATAGAAAGTGACATCATAGTCATGGCTAAAAATAAACAAAAATCCTTAATCAGCAACATTTAAAGTAATATCTAAAAATAAAATTCCTTTGTAACCATAAAAGCCCATTTAAATACATCATAAAGATATTAAAATAGAAAATGACATCATAGTCATGGCTAAACATAGCTAAAAACCCTTAATCAGCATCATTTAACATTAATATCTAAAAATGGAAATTACATCATAAAGGTATTAAAATAGAAAATGACATCATAGTCATGGCTAAAAATAAACAAAATCCTTAATCAGCATCAGCAACATTTTATAGTAATATCTAAAAATAAAATTCCTTTGTAACCATAAAAGCCCATTTAAATACATCATAACAGATATTAAAATAGAAAATGACATCATAGTCATGGCTAAACATAGCAAAAACCTTAATCAGCATCATTTAACAGTAATATCTAAAAATAAAAATTTCTTTGCAACCATAAAAGTAAAATAGAAAATGACATCATAATCATAGCTAAAAATAAACAAAAAAATTTTTATTGGCAAATTTTAAATGGAGTTTATTATACTAAAACAATAAATTTGCAACCATAAACATGATAAAACCCCATTTAAACACATCATAAAAGTATTAAATAATTCAACTACATCATAAGGCTATAAAAATAGAAAATGACTTCATAGTCAAGGCTAAAGGTAAACAAAAAACCTTCATCAGCAAAATTTTATATTGGCAAATTTCCAATGAAGTTTATTACACTAAAATTGTTGGCAAATTTCCAATGCATTTATTTACAATAAATTTATTGGCAAATTTCCAATTTACATAATTTAAAAGCAGTGTAGATGAGATATTTAAATGAGTTTGAATTACCAACCTTACACTGCTTTTAAATAATGTTCTTTACTCAATTATTTGTCTATTAAAATGGAAACCCTTGTTTTTTAACCTTTTTTCCCCTTATTCCTTAAACATTAGAGCCATAACCCCCCCCCCCCAAAAAAGCCAATTATTACTTTCCAATGTAACTTAAATTTCCAATATACATAATTTTAAATTTCAATTCCTCATGATATATAACCGTATCATTATTATTTTCTTTCATATATAAATCTGAAACAACCATCTTTAAATGGAAAATTTTAAAGAAAAAAAAAGGAAAAAAAAAAATCCTACCTCCCACACATTTTTTCAACCCCCTTTTGATTCATCATCCCCCACCTCAATCACAACCTTCAATTTGTGGTATGGTACATTGCAATACAATTTCACAGAGATCCATTCACTTGAACACAAGTTTTTGTTGCAAACTAAAAAAATCCTTATTTTTGACCAATATTTGGCCCCTTATTCATAAATGTTTGAGCAATTAACCCCAAAACTCAATTCCTACTTTCTCTTCGTGATAAAAAATAACTAACTTAAAATGTAAATTTTAAACAAAAAAAAAAGGAAAAAAAATAATTACCCCTTTTTTGACCCCCGCCCCCCTTATGATTCATCACCCCCATCCCCTTTCCCCCCAAACCAAGCTCAATAACAGCCTTGCCTTTGTGGTATGGTACCTTGTTATACAATTTTAGAGAGATCCATACACTTGAACACAAGTTATTGTCTAGAAACTAAAAAATGCTTATTTTAAACCCCTTTTTAGGCCCCTTATTACTAAACGTTTTGGGCAATTACCACAACACTCAATTCCAGCTTTCCCTTTGTGAAATGGAACCTTGTAGTAAAATTTCAGAAAGATCCATACACTTACACACAAGTTATTGTCATGAAACTAGAAAAATGCTTGTTTTTTGCCCCCTTTTGGCCCCTTATTCCTAAAATTTTGAGGCAATTAACCCCAAAATCAATCCCAGCATTGACCCTTTGTGATATGGAATCTTGTGGTACAATGTCAAAGAGATCCATATGCTAACACACAAGTTATGTCTGGAAGTTACAAAAATGCTTATTTTCGGCCCCTTTTTGGCCCCTTATTCCTTAACTGTTGGTACCATAACCCCCAAAATCAATCCCCACCTTCCTATTGTGGTATTGAACCTTATGGTGAAATTTCATAGAGATCCATTCACTTAAACTAAAGTAAGAGTGCGAAAACCATTGTGTATTCGGACGACGACGCCGGACGACGACGACGACGCCAACGTCATACCAATATACGACCTCAAAATTTTTTTTCGGTCGTATAAAAACTACCTTTGGATTGCTTGAATATAAGTTAAGCATAATATGTGTCAATAGGACATTATGTACTGCTCACACCATCACATTTCTATGTTCAGTGAACCATGATAATGTGCATCAAAGTCCTTATTTGGCATATTTTTTTTTAAATATTTCAAATCATAATAAACATGTGTACTTTCAAGTTGATGTTTCCTCATTTTCATGATTAACCACTTAACCAAAAACTTTTACCTGGTACAGCTAAAAGGGCCTTTAAAATTCAGAAAAATCCATTCAGAACATGTTAGAGCAGGGTATCCTTATACCAAGACTCGACCAGTTGTATGGATGTATACAAACATAAAACACATTGTTTTCCCCTGTCAGATTACATTGTAATGAGCACAAGACATTTTAGCGAAAAAGTTGAAACTACTTGGGGACAATTTAGCAAGATATTACATGTATAGGCCATTTTTATAGTGCCGGATTTATCCATTCACCTGAATTATGATAGCCCTTTTTGCGAAAACTTACCTGCCAGTGGTTGAATTATACTCAGCATAATAAAACTGTGATCAGTAATGTATGCTAGCTTAATGTTTAAGTTGTTTTTATTACAATTTAGTTAATCATGGAAATAAATGTTGTTGAAACAAACTGGTGATAAAAGTGCAATATGTGATGGTTTTTCTGGATACTACTATAAAATAAATGTGGATAGTGTCCACATGTGGACACAGATGATGCCCCCGCTTGCATATCATATAGTTATAAAGGGACATAACTGAAGAACGGTAAAAGTGACGCTACCCAAATTTGAACTTGATCTGAGTTTTGTGGTAATAAGCATTGTGTGTAAGTCTCATAATATTTGGTTGAGGCTAACTTAAGTAGAGAACAGAAACTAAAAATTCAGCAATTTTTCTATTTGTAAACACTCATAACTCTAGAACGGTTGTGTATAAGTTTTACAACATTTGGTTGAGACAAACTAAAAAATTCAGCAATTTTTATGTTTATAAAGGGACATAACTCTAGAATGGTAAAAGTGTTGCCACATAATTTCGTACTTAATCTGTATTATGTAGTAATGAGCATTGTGTATAAGTTTCATAACATTTGGTTGAGGCAAACTCAAGTTAGAGAACTGAAACAAAAAAATTGTACTTGATCCTTACTGAGTTTTGTGGTAATGAATATTGTGTATAGGTTTCATAATGTTTGGCTGGGGAAAACTTCAGTTACAGAATGGAAACTAAAAAATTTTGCAATCTTTCTATTTATAAAGGGGCATAACTCAATAATGGTTAAAGTGACACTACCCAAATTCAACTTGATCTGTGTTTTATCAGTGGAAGTCAAAATTAAACATTGCATTGTATAAAGCAATGATTGTAGTTGATTCAACTATAATCATGGTCAAAGGAAGATAACTCCAATTTTAATAAAATGCTTCGCTGGGCGCAGCTTGATACGACCGCAGAGGTCGAACCCTGAACAGTTGGGGCAAGTATGGACACAACATTCAAGCTTGATACAGCTCTGAATTTGGATTGTGATTAAATATTTGACACAGCATAGGTTTCTGACACAGAAAGAATGTGGTCTAAGAACTTCAATTTTTTTAATTTACCTATTATGGTCCAATGTCCAAAATCAAAATACATGGTTAGATTCAGCATATCAAAGAACCCCATATATTCAATTTTTGTTGAAATCAAACAAAGTTTAATTTTGGACCCCAACTTGGACAAACTTGAAAACTGGTCCCATAATCAAAAATCTAAACACATGTTTAGATTCAGCATATCAAAGTACCCGAAGAATTCAATTTTTGTTAAAATCAAACTAAGTTTAATTTTGGACCCTTTGGACCTTAATGTAGACAAATTTAAAAAACGGGACCCTAAATTAAAAATCTAAAAACACAGTTAGATTTGGCATATCAAAGAACCCCAATAATTCAATTTTTGATGAAATCAAACAAAGTTTAATTTTGGACCCTTTTGACCTCAATATGAACCAATTTGATAGCGGGCCCACAAATAAAAAATCTAAATACATGGTAAGATTCAGCATATCAAAGAACCCCATATATTCAATTTTTGTTGAAATCAAACAAAGTTTAATTTTGGACCCCAATTTGGACCAACTTGAAAACTGGGCCAAAAATCTAAAATCTAAATACATGTTTAGATTCAGCATATCAAAGAACCCCATATATTCAATTTTTGTTGAAATCAAACAAAGTTTAATTTTGGACCCCAACTTGGACCAACTTGAAAACTGGGCCCATAATCAAAAATCTAAACACATGTTTAGATTCAGCATATCAAAGAACCCTAAGAATTCAATTTTTGTTAAAATCAAACTAAGTTTAATTTTGGACCCTTTGGACCTTAATGTAGACAAATTTAAAAAACGGGACCCAAAATTAAAAATCTAAATACACGGTTAGATTCGGCATATCAAAGAACCCCAATAATTCAATTTTTGATGAAATCAAACAAAGTTTAATTTTGGACCCTTTGGACCTCAATGTGGACCAATTTAAAAACGGGGCCCAAAATCCAAAAACTTAATACACGGTTAGATTCAGCATATTAAAGAACCCCAAGAATTCAAGAATAAAACCCCATTGAAATTGATCAAGAAATAAGCAATTTATACGAAGTATCTTCTTTTGCACAATACTGTGCAATTGAATATTTCTTGCTATTGCGCAATACTGTACAATTGACAATTTCTTGCTATTGCGCAATATTGTGCTATTGGATATTTCTTGCTATTGCGCAATACTGTTAAATTGAAGATTTCTTGCTATTGCGCAATACTGTGCAATTGAAGATTTCTTGCTATTGTGCAATACTGTGCAATTGAAAATTTCTTGCTATTGCACAATACTTATTATATAATAATTTACACATCCTGTTTGGTGTGTATCTCCTACCATATCATTATTATTTGCTTTTAAATATAAATCAGAAATAACCAACTTAAAATGGAAAATTTTAAAAGAAAAAAAAAAGGAAAAAAAGAAAAAAAAAAAAAAAAAAAAATCCCCCCCCCCCAATTTTTTGAACCCCCTTATGATTCATCACCCCCAAACTCAATCCCAGCCTTCCCTTTGTGGTATGGTACCTTGCAGTACAATTTCAGAGAGATCCATACACTTGAACACAAGTTATTGTCTGGAAACTAGAAAAATGCTTATTTTTGGCCCCTTTTTGGCCCCCAATTCCTAAAATTTTGAGGCAATTACCCCCAAACTCAATTCCAGCTTTCCCTTTGTGATATGGAACCTTGTAGTACAATTTCAGAAATATCCAAACACTTACACACAAGTTATTTTCATGAAACTAGAAAAATGCTTGTTTTTTGCCCCTTTTTTGGCCCCTAATTCCTAAAATTTTGAGGCAATTACCCCCAAAATCAATTACAGCCTTCCCTTTGTGATATGGAACCTTGTGGTACAATGTCAGAGAGATCCATACACTTACACACAAGTTATTGTCTGAAAGTTACAAAAATGCTTATTTATGGCCCCTTTTTGGCCCCTAATTCCTTAACTGTTGGTACCATAACCCCCAAAATCAATCCCAACCTTCCTTTTGTGGTATTGAACCTTATGGTGAAATTTCATGGAGATCCATTCACTTAAACTAAAGTTAGAGTGCGAAAACCAATGTGTCTTCGGACGACGCCGGACGACGCCGACGACGACGACGACGACGACGACGACGACGACGACGACGACGCCAACGTCATACCAATATACGACCAAAAAATTTTTAATTTTTGCGGTCGTATAAAAATATATTCTATAAACTTGATATTTAGAAGAAAATAAAAATTTTGCAATTTTTCCTTTTATAAAGGGGCATAACTCTAGATCGGTTAAAGTGACACCACCAAAATTCAAACTTGATCTGTGTTTTGTGGTAATAAGCATTGTGTATCAGTTTCATAACATATGGTTGAGGCAAACTTAAGTTAGAGAACGGAAACTAAAAATTTTGCAATATTTCCTTTTATAAAGGGGCATAACTCTAGATCGGTTAAAGTGACGCCACCAAAATTCAAACTTGATCTGTGTTTTGTGGTAATAAGCATTGTGTATAAGTTTCATAACATTTGGTTGAGGCAAACTGAAGTTAGAGAACGGAAACCAATTTCGGGACGTACGTACGTACGTACGTACGTACAGACGGACAAGGGTAAAACTTAATGCCCCCTCCGCTACGGCGGGGGCATAAAAAAAAGTTTTATCAACAGTATTATACAGGGGGTATACATGTACCAAGAGCCAATTACATATGTTCACTGGGGTATAGATTTCAGACTATAACAGACTTTTAAAATTTGAGTTAACTTTTTAGACTTATAGTGCTGTAAGGGACACGAAATATTTTGTATGTTTGCTGTTTTAATGCTATATACCTGTATTTATTCTTCAATGAATTAATTTCTGTTGCTAAAATGGGTTATACTTTTGTGCTTTTTTCGCTAAAATGTCCTCCGCCAATAGTATAACAGTAAATTGTGTACATGTAAGTTAACTCTAGAAACTTAATGTGTCTACTTTTCCTCAAGAATTATATTGTATTTCAGTGATATACAGTTTTGTACATGAGACACTTTAAAAAAAATTGTCTGCTTAATCATAGGTATTGTATCACATTACGTACCTCTACAAAATTAGTGTGTTTAGCATCCCGTACAGTAACAACAGCATGTACTTCTTCAATTAGTTTCTGTTTTTCATCATCATCAAAATGCATATACCACTTAGCTAGACGGGTTTTACCAGCCCGGTTCTGTATCAGGATGAAACGAATCTGAAAAAATGTATTGTACATTTACAGTTTATTCAATTAAGTTAAATAGCAGCAAAAGTTTAATATATAACTTTATAAAAATTATTTGAACAGACTGCTGGACATTGGTCGATAACCTGGTATAGGAAAGTTTGTTTTTTCACATGACCAGTAAAGATAGAAATATCTTAAGAATCTTTGATCTTTGAATTTGTTTGTTAATTCATAATTACTCTGGCTGCTCTGGATCACAGCTTCAAATTCAATATATACAGGTACATAACATGTATATGCCTGTCTTTCAAATTATAAAATACTTTTATCTTTAACCTTTGTCAACACCATCATGACCATTGAAGAAATCGTTAAAGCTTGAGTTACATTTTCACTAATGACTTCATTACCAACAAGTGAAACTACGAGCTACTGCTCACTATTGATACCCCCGCCTAAATATTTAGGTAAACAGGAAGTTGTTGAGTGATGAATCTGAGAATGCATCACACAGTATAGCTGACATATATAAATCCTGAAACCAAATTTCAGAAATCCTTATGATGTAGTTCCTGAGAAAGCTGCGACGACAAATATTCATGGGACAGATGGACGAACTGACCGATGGATGGATGGACAGACGAACAGACAGAGGTAAAACAGTATACCACCACTTTTTTAAAGCGGGGGTATAAAGACTGCGAGCTACTGCTCCCTGATGATACTCCCTCCCAAATATTTTGGTAAACAGGAAGTTGTTGAGTGATGAATCTGATTGATTGATTGTTGGTTGCTTTACGCCGCATTATTGATGAATCTGAAAACGCATCACACGGTATAGCTGACATATATAAATCCTGAAACCAAATTTCAGAAATCCTTATGATGTAGTTCCTGAGAAAGCTGCGACGAAAAATATTCATGGAACAGATGGATGGACTGACGGATGGATGGACGGACAGACAGAGGTAAAACAGTATACCCCCACTATTTTAAAGCGGGATATAATTTAAAGTGGGGAGTATAATTATTCCCTTTCTGAAACAGACTGGTACTTCTTTCTACTGTTAGTACAACCAGTTACAAGACAGGGACCCATGTACAAATGTTTATAATTTTAATTGTACAAAACAGAATTTTTAAATGTAAATAGACTAGGGGACTGCATCTGTGTGAGCCTGACATAATTAGCCCAACAGAACTTTAAACAGTCACCAATGTCTGCTGTTCTTTAACAATGAACAGTAAATTTCAAACTACATTTATAAATATAATTTCTAAAATTAGAATATGATGATGTTACATGTATATCTAATTTTAATTAATAATAAAAAACTTGCGGTCATATAAAAGGATAATGAGGACGAACATTTTGAATTTATTTTATTATTCAACATACAACTTTATAGCAAACAAAATGAGTTCTGTGAGGACACTCACCTCAGATCAATCAGGCAGGTTTTTGTATCTGTACAAAGATCAGTAAGCAGCTGACTTTGCATATTAGTTGTTTTAAAGCAAGGAATTATTTGAATCTGGAATAATTTTGAATTATGGAAAATTGAAAAGAAATGTATGATGAAAACTAACACAATTTAGGAGGGTTAGCCATGCATGCATGGTTTAGAGGTTGGGGGGGGGGGGGGGGGGGGGTTATTTAGTTCGTGAAAGTAAAATTTAGCTTAGCCATGCATGCATGCATGGCTAACCCTATTTAGTTGAGTCAGTTTTTATCATACATTTCTTATCAATTTTCCAGAATTCAAAATTATTCCAGATACAAATAATTGCTTGCATTTTTTTTAAGTATAATTCAATTATTAAGTTTTTCATTAAACAATACTTTAGTACAAGAGAAAAAAAAATCCCTCTATAGAGTAATATATTTGTTTAGACTGGATTTAAAGTAGGAAGATGGCAAAAGTGTCTTTTTCTAGTTATTTTGGCTATAATCTATAGCATTATTGGTATCAATTATTGCACGTTACTAACAATTGAGATGCCTTAGTTTTCTGCTAAAGTGTCACATCTTGCAAACTATTGTGTACCTATCTGAACACCTGACCAACAACAATAGGAACAGTTGACCTTTAAATTTTTTGTTAAATCTTTCAAATCCAGTCTTAACAAATATATCCCTCTATAGAGGGATAATTTCAACCCACTATAGAAGGGTAATCACTCTTTGGTATCGGGTCCATCACACCTTATTTTGATTCAAATCTAGGTTGAATTAATATTAGATGTATTTTCAGATGTACAATGTATACACATGATGTATATATATCAAAATATTTATATTTTCATGAATGAAAATTATTAACTATTCATTGGTATTTTCAAAGCTAATTTGGTATTATTCTTATGTGTTTGAAAATCATGATTGCTGTTATAACTAGCTTTGGTGTTAAGTAACATACAAGCAGTTAGCTTGGTAGGAGTAAAACAGGGTTGGCCAAGTATTTCCCGGGCTGGGCTATACTCCCAGAAACAGGTAATACTGGCCAATACTGGGAAATATGATTTTTCAAGCTTATTTTTTACACAAAATAGTAAAGACTTGTTGTAGTTTATTAGTATTATAGCTAAATATATACATTATAAACAGATAACCATTGACAGTCATTCCTGAAGATTGAAAATTAAATTTCTTCCTTTTCTCCACTAATTCTATGTCTACAGGAATACAAGTTTTGCACATTTCAGGATACCTTATTTATTTCCAAGTTTGATTTAACTTTAAGTCAACACTTTGACCAATCTAGACAGAATGGCGATTAGATAGATTTTTAGGAGGACTATTAAGAAAAGCTTTTCACATTTGTCTTAAGTGTCTTCATGTACACTTGTCTTTGACTTGCTGGACCATTAATATTTTCTCAGATTTATACACTTTATATTAAGAGTCTCAAACAAGTGAACTTACAAATTAAAATACTATATCTTATTTTCATAAAAATCTTAAATGTATTGCATTTGTGATTAATTCTCTTTAAAATTCAGGCCAGTATTTCATATTACCCAGTATTGCCCAGTGGGCTGGGCAATACTCATAAAACATGGGTTTTTGCCAACCCTGGTCAGTAAAAACAATGAAGATTTTAAATAGAAAACATGAAAGATAATTGTTTTTAACAGCTTTGCCCCTTTGAACACGTGTGTGTTTGGACAAGTTGTACTGTTACACCAATGTGCCAGGTTAGAGGAGGGTTGAGCGCTCACAAACATGTTTAATCCCACCACATTCTTTATGTGTCTGTCCCGAGTCAGGAGCCTGTAGTTCAGTGGTTGTCGTTGGTTCATGTCTGTCATATTTGTTTTTCGTTAATTGTTTTGTTATAAATTAGGCCGTTAGTTTTCTCAATTGAATTGTTTCATATTTTTCATGTCAGGGCTTTTTATAGCCAACCATACGGTATGGGTTTTTCTCATTGTTGAAGGCCTATAATTGCTAACATCCACTTCATTTGAACTTTGGTGGATAGTTTCCTCATTGGCAATCATACCACATCTATTTTTATATGGTATACAACAATGCCAAACATGGTAGAGGGTCTGGATGTTGGGTCCTTTATTTCTATATTTTTTAAAATTTTCTCTATTCTTTATATTTTTGCACCCCATTAATGATTATTCTGTACTTTTATAACTTGGCTTACTTTTATCAAGGATGTATAACTAACAAAAATATATGTCCTTGCTTTTATATATTATTTATTTTTTGGGCGAATTTTTTCTGTAGTATTGGTCCATTATTCTGTATTCTGTAAACTTCATCCAAACCCTCACAGAAATGCACCTAATAAACATGTGCTTTGTAGCCGTGTTTTTATTTAATTGTTGTTGTTGTAGCAATGTCATTAGCCATTTGGTATCTTCCGCCTTTCTTTTACAAGTCTTAGAGACGAATGACTTGGCCTTTGATCATCATGACAATATTCATTTTCTTTCGTCAAAATAATTCACAAAATAAAACCTGTTTACTTTTTTAGAATGTCACTTTATTTTCAAACAATAAAAAACTTATAATCTTTATTTCACAGCAATACACTAACTAAAGCATGATTAAAAAAAATATTCAAAACATAACCTTTAAAAAGGGTGCGAACTGACCCAGGGTGCAAACGTTTGGGGTGCGAACGTGAAAGCCACAAAGGGGGTGAATGTGAATGTGAGTGAATATGATTTTGGGCGAACGGACCCAGATTCTCACTCTATGCAGGTATTATCACCATATAGGGGTTTTGGTCCCAACCTGATAAATGTTTATATATATACATGTATCTGCAATAAACAGGATATTGTAAAGACTAAAGTATTCTAAAGGTTTGCTGACTTCGTCGCATTTCACAGGTAACACCCGCCTCATATCTAAAAATTTAACCAGTCAGAAAGGAATTGTATAGTAAGATTACTATATAAATCCTTGCTGTCAGTGTCAGTAGGTTGAAATAGATAGATATATATATATATATATCAAATTACATGTAATATGTATGTGGATTTCAACTCAGAATACACCTATCACTATTATTAGTTATTATCAATTGAGAAAGTGTTACGGTAAAATGATTTGTGTTCAATCATTAAGTAAATGCCTAGAATAAAGTTAATAGGAGGCAATGTTACCATTTCTGAATAATTTCGTATACCGGAAATGATTAACCTCCCACATTCAACGTCAGAAGAACGCTTTGAAATGAAGAGTTCTAGGTTGCTTCTAAGCGTTCAGACGATCTTTGTTAAGTAGCACATGGACTGAGCTGTTTACAAACATCATGACATGCATGTAGCTTAGAAAAAAATATAAATTTGTCTGTCATGTCAGACCTTATAGATGACGTCAGGAGGAAAGTTACTCTGCGTGAGCATGGTGTAGAAAATGTATGTTTTTATTCAGCATTTTTTAAGGAACTTAGGTTGTAAGCTTCTGTTATCTAATCTTATATAAAAAAAAGACTAAAAGATACCTATGTTGAAATCAAAAGAAAAACAACAGTCTATAACCTGAGACTACTATAACACATAGTAGTCTCAGCTTTAACAAAACAGTACATAGAAAACTTAACCTCACATACAAGTCAGACCTAGGTGCTCTGGAAGAGCTGGGACTATTATACTAACTATTAGTATAATAGTCCCAGGGAAGAGTTACTAATTCCTTCTGAGTTTGGAAAGATTTTCTGGTTTCTGTATCCTTCATCCAGTGGAACTTATATCACAGGAAATATGTTCTGGGAGAACTTTTTTCACAGGTAATTTCTATATAATTTGTTCCATCTCTATAAAATAAGTTCCACACTTTACCTGGTGAAATAAGTACCAGTTTGGTGAAATTAGTTCCTTACCTAGTGAAATAAGTTCCAGGTTTATGAAATTTGTTCCTTACCTGGTGAAATAAGTTCTGAGTTTGTGAGATTTGTTCCTCACCTGGTGAAATAAGTTCCTTGTCTGTGAAATATGTTCCACTGGTCAAACAAGTTATCTTATATACTGAGCATTTGTCATCAGTGAGTTTAAAGTTATCATTCAAGTGCATTATAAAAATAAGTATTATATTAATAATATAATAGATAAAAAGTGTAAATCATCCAGTTTGGATCCTATAGAGTATACCAAATGTTTAATTATATACTCTGTAAAAAATATCTAAATGACACTTTTGAACCAGAAAAGATTAGAATAAGAAAAATCATTCAGAAAAAGTATAGTTTAAGAGGAACATATGTACTAATTTGAAAAGGACAAAGTGACTTGATCATTTATAAATATCAAAAGACATGTAGAAAAAAAAGACACACTCTTTTGAAACCGTGCCATGTCCTAAGTACATGTATGACTATAACACGGGGCCATGACAGTTAACAGGAACCAAGGAGGAATACTGCATAAAACATAAATACAAATTATGATACATTACCACCACTTTTATTTCTTATCTTCATCCTATAGTTACAGTCATGCCTTCAATTGCAAATGTATCCCATGCAAGTACACTCAGTACAGCATGTAGCTTGCATTATAATTTAAGTGTAACAAGAAAATGTTTCGGTGTGCTATAATGATTAAGCGGAACTTATTCATTAGTTTCTATGAAATATTTACATGTTCGTTTAAAACTAATGTCACAGGAACTTATTTAAAACTTTTTAATATTAATTGAAACAAAATTCATGGAGCTATGATTTTTGTTCCGTAACTTATTTCACATTTGGCCAAAAAATTAGTTCCAGAACAAATTTTACAGTGCTGGAACATATTTTCTGTGATATAAATTCCGGTGGAACATATTTCCTATGAAATTTGTTCCGGCGGAACAAATGTCACGCCGGAACAAATTTTTTGTTACAAGAGCACCTATTGATGGTGTTGGAGAGATGTTCTGAAGCTCTCAACTGACTTGGCGCACACTATATCTTATTCTTGCTGGTTCCAATGGATCACAGTCTTAACGAAGAATGAGTTCTTAAATTGTTCGGTTTTGCAATTTGTTGTATCAATTGCCTTTGAGTTGTTCTTGACCAAGTTGTGAACTATATTAGTACTTTCAAAGTCTTCAAAGCATTTGGGTTTACCAGTCTTTGACTCTTTCTTCTGGACTTCAGGTTTTCTAGTTCCAGGACGGTAAGCATTTTGGTGACAGATCGTTCTTCTCTAGGTTATATATCGTTGAAAATATTTTTCCTTCTTCTCTAGATTTTATATCGTTTAAATCATTTTTTGTTGACTCCCATTTCGCAAACATACATTGTGATGATCTTTCTGTTTCTAAATTTGGTTCTAATATTATATGGATGTACAGAATCCATTTTTAATTGGGTTTTCAAAGTTAAAAAAAAGTTATTAATTTGGTTAAGTATGGCGGGTGGGTGGCTGCCAACAGTTTCTGTGCAATAAATTATGAACCGTACAACCAATGCTTTTCAAATTTTAATATGTTGATACTGATGACAAAATGGAGGTCAAGTTCAATATTGAAGATTTTCATTAAGTTTTACCGTTCAGGAGTTATGGTCCTTGATCTACTGGAAAAGGGTCCTTTATTTTGTTTCCTTGCAATTACTTATATGAAACTTGACCAATGCTTTTAGAATTTTAATATGTTGCTACTGATGAAAAAATGGAGCTTAAATTTGATATTGTTGATTTTGACCTATGCTGTTAATGAGTTAATGGTTCTTGACAGATTGAAAATAGCATTTTATGTCCTTTCTGTGCAATTTCTTATGTACTTTTCAAACAATGCTCATAAAAATTTAATATGCCAATACTGATGAAAAAATGGTGGTCAAGTTTGAAATTAGAGATTTTCAATTTTGCCATTCCTTGTTTCAATATACAATTGAAAATTATGTTATATAAAGGTAAAAAGAATCTTAACGTTTTATGTTTTGGTAAAAACCCAGTCCAAGAATAATCTAGGCACGTCACAACATGCTTTTGAATTCTAGTGCATACATGTACTTGAGTGAAAACTCAACAGTCATGACAAAGCGGTAACAGTGAAAATTGTTAGTACAAAATATATCACAAGGGTATCTATGTCTGGCATATATCCGTTGTCATGATCTCATTTTCATAGTTCAATACTGCTTAGAATTAAAACTATTTTATTTCAGTCTTTATGGGTCATATGATAACAATATTTGGTATACATTGAATCTTTGCTATACATGTACATGTATATATCTGTTAGATACATGTAGGTTTCTATTGACCATGAACCCATTTTCATGGTTCATTGGCCAATGTTAAGTTTATTTTAGTTAGTGTTTTTCAGATATTATAGGTTATATATCAACTATAATTGGTGTACATTGTATAGAATAATTGCAAGGTGTACTTTACGATTTGATAGGGTTCTTCTGAGTTCTGACCATGCATTATTTTAATTGGCCATTGGTCAATGATAAGTTTTCATGCTAAGGTCAGTTCTCAATTGTTTTAATATCATGATTACATAATGTTTTCTGGTATGTGTGTCTGTCTGTCTGTTTATCCATCCTTCAGTGCAGTATCAGATTTAAGTTTTTGGTCAAGAAAGTTTACAATGAAGTTGTGGTCATATCAATTTCAAACTTGGTACACATGTTTATAATGATGGGAACTTTTGAAAGCAATTATCAGGGCTCACACTACTTTTAGAATCATAGGGAGAAGTGACTTCTCTTTTTGAAACTGATAAGGTAGTTCTTCTTTTTCTTCTTCTTCTTCTTCTTCTTCTTCTTCTTCTTCTTCTTCTTCTTCTTCTTCTTCTTCTTCTTCTTCTTCTTCTTCTTCTTCTTCTTCTTCTTCTTCTTCTTCTTCTTCTTCTTCTTCTTCTTCTTCTTCTTCTTCTTCTTCTTCTTCTTCTTCTTCTTCTTCTGCCACTTTTAAATTTGAACTTGTCAGCACCCGTTCTCCAAAACACAATATGTTAGACTAACATGTCTAGTGGTGCAATCAGGGTTTTGTTTGTGTAATGTAATTGGGTTTATAAAGGTGTACTTTGAGGAGCAAAATGGAAGGACTCTATGGGATTTAATTTTTAGTCCCCAGGGGTAACCCCCACCCCCCCCCCCCCTTGCCATTTGAGAAAGTTTTAATATCTAGTAAGTGGTCAAGATCCCCATCCCTAAACCATATATATTTTGGCTTGTCATGATAAAGCACATCAAATGAAATACAGGGTTAGTCCCCAGGGTTCACCCCACCCCTTGCCATTTGAAAAGTTCTAATATCTTGTAAGTGGTCAAGATCCCCACCCCTAAACCATATATATGCTGGTTTATCATGCCAAGATGATTTAAATGATATACATGGTAACTTGGTAAGACCCAAGGGGTCATCCCCACCCCCTGTCATTTGAATATGTTCAAATATCTTGTTAATGGTCGAGATCCCCACCCCTAAACCATATATATTCCTGTCGTCTTGTCATGAAGATTTGAATGATATAAATAAGAGGTCCCCAGCGGTTCACCCAACCCCAATGTTCTAATATCTTGTAAATGGTCGAGATCCCCACCCCTAAACCATATATATTCCTGTTCGTCATTTCTCAAAGATTTGAATGATATGTAGGGTCAGTCCCCAGGGGTTCCCCCCACCCCAAATGTTCTAATATCTTGTAAATGGTCAAGATCCCCACCCCTAAACCATATATATACCTGTTCGTCATTTCACGAAGATTTGAATGATATACAGGGTCAGTCCCAAGGCGTCACTAATACATATCACTTTACTTGACCAAACCAGTTTTTACTGGACTTTGTCCAATGTCAGGTGACCCTGGGAATGACGAGTTATGGGAGCTTTGTTTGGGAGACATCATAACAGCATCCTGTTACAATCATTTCTTGTTAAGATATTGGTTTTGAGAAGGACATTTTTTTTTTTATGTTTCTAAGGAAATAAGTTTTTGTAATGTGACATCTAGGTTGAACAGTTCTTAATCCTGACCATAAGAAATATGATTTAATTTTCAAACAGAATAAAAATTTAAAGTATATTACAGGGTACTAGTGATTTGGGATAATGATTCATGGTAATAATTGGTTTATTAAAAATATAGAATTAAAGCATAACTTCCTGTAAGTTATGAAAATTGAATGTATGTGTCTACAAGTTGACCTTAGATCAATTTGGCTATATTTTAGGTCCTTTTTGCTCATATTGCTCTTCAGCTGTTTCGGTTTTA